CAGGGCGCAGCAGACCCCACTGTCTCCCCGCTGCTCCCCTCAGCAGTGTGCTTCGTCGATCTGCCTGTTCTGCTCCCCACTCTGTCTCTGATGAATCCTCTCACCTTCCCCAGCCTCTGGCCTGCACCCCAGCTCTTGTGTGCATACATAAATAAAATAAATCTTTAAAAACCAGAGTCCATAGCGCCCCCTCCAAGGTGGGAAACCGAGGCCCAGAGAGGTGAAATGACTCACTCCAAAGAGGCCGGTGGGCAAACGTCACCGGCTTGGAAGGGGCAGCCACAGCTCCCCGCACCCTCCCAGAGAACCTTCTTCCAAGGGTGCTTCTTTCTCAGCCCTCTCACCCTGGCGGCCCTGACAGGACTCGTGGTTACCCCCTCACGGGGTGGTTTAGGCCGTTTCTGCCTCTGTTCCTGAGAGTCCTTTCCCCAGAGCCTCATGCAGCCCCTGGCACATAGCAGGTGCCTAGAGGACACGCACTGAAGGTCTGTTAGGGCAGGGACAGGCCAGCGCCTACCAAGACAGCCTCCCACTGGGCAAAGCTGTGGCTTCCAAGGTTCTGTGCACACACACACACACACACACACACACACGTACAGTGCCTGCGCTGCAGGGGTGCTGCGGCTCGCCCACACTGCGTCCTGCCCTCCCCTCGCCCCCGCTCACCAGGCCTCCCGAAGCACCCTTCCTGCGGCTTCTGCCAGCCAAGAATGGCCTCCAGCCACTCGGGTTTGTAGAAGTCTGAGAAGCCGCTGAGTCCGCAGAACATGACTGGAAGTAGAGACGGGGCCTCTGCACAGGTGGCCTCAGGCCTCCCCAGAGCCCTCGGCCCGCGACCCCACCTGCCAGGGCAGGCCTCGTGGGGTCTGGAAGGGGCCCGGGCGTGGCCTCCGAGAGTGGGGCTCCCTGCCCAGATCTGCGCCCCCCGGAGGGCCTCGGTCAGGGCCACTCAAGAGCCACCCCGAGGGCCAGTCACCGGGAACCCCTCCCTCTTCCCCGCCAACGCGTCCAGCCAGCAGCCTGTATGACCACCCCGGCTCCGTCTGCAGCCACACAGAGGCAGGCAAAGGAGACGCCCAGCTGAACCTGTTTCCATGCACAAAGGGTGACATCTAAGAGCGAGCATCACCCCTGCTGTGTCTGGGATATACTGACCCTGAGCATCCAGTCGGTAGGTTTATCTCAAGTTCAGGCTGCACTGAGCGTCTTACCTCTGCTGCTGCTGCTGTGTGTGGGGGGGGGAGGGCGGGCCCGGAGGGCGGGCAGGACCCACTGTTTTCCATGAAGATGTCCCGCGTGGGGTGGGCGTATCCAAGGGCTTCCACTCTCCGGTTCAGGTCCATCATGTTGGCGCAGAAGCGGCTGGTGTAGCTCTGGCTCTGGCAGAACAGTCCCCCTGTGCATCCCTTCTGGGGGAGCAGACACCGGGAGACCCGGAAATCGGTGGTGGGGATGGCAGCTGCACCCTGATACGGGGTGCCTTGCAAATGGCTGCTTGTGCCTCGATCCTCCCCTCCCCACCCACACTCCCAGGTGCCTGGGCTCTGTCCTGGGGGACAGGTGGCAGGGCTCCAGACCCCGCTTTGCCACTCAGGAGCTGTGGGATTGGGCTGCCTAGCCTGCACCCCAACTCTTGTATGCATAAAAACGTAAATCTAAAAAAAAAAAAGGAAATGATATATTAGAAGATGGTTGTTATCTGGCAAAGTCTGAGACCTCGGGCTTGACAGCTGGCGCGGCGCCTTGGCTGGGCGGTCTGGGTTTGCCTCCGGGAAGGGGCTTGCTCCAAGTCCGGGTGCTTGCTGTGGCCGATCGGCGCCCCGATCCAGCTCAGCATGGACACAAAGCTTTCGCCCAGCGGAACCCCACCCGCTTTCTTCACTAACTCGTTGCTGCTCTCCCCTCCCCGACCTCCACAGCCGAGGTCCACGCTCCTGTGCTGGCTTTCCCGGTGTGTGGGGTACATGCCCCCTCCCCCGTGGGCGGCCCCACAGGTGCTCACCATTCTGGCCATGAGGAAGAAGAGCAGCTGGTGGGACAGGGAGTAGCCCCAGCAGCCCGGCTCGGTCACCAGGGCCCTGCAGAAGCTGGAGACCTGGCAGGGCTGGCGGCCGGCTGTCCTGTGGAGGAGGGACGCGGCCTGTGCTCACGTTCTGGCCCAAGCCACGGACATGGCCGTTCCTCAGCCTGAGCCCCAATGATGACTAGAACATGGCCCACCCCAGATTCCAGGCACCGAGCTGGGCACAGGAGCTGCCGGGGAGACAGGCATCTTCGAGGGCTCGACTGCCCCTCCCAGCACAGGGAGGTGACTGGGGGCGTCTGGGGTGATGGTGTCACCGGGGGCTGCAATTCCTGTGGTCCCCTGGACACCCAGGAAGGGCTTTCCCAGCGCGGCCCCCCAAGTAGCAGGTGCCTGAACCCAGGCCGCCTGGGGCTGGCCAGCGTGCTGTGCTGCACCAGGCCTCCCATAAAGGCGGGGGGTGGGCAGGAGCCTCCGGAGCATGTCCTGGCAAACGCCGTCCATAGGGACCTTCCCCCAGCATGACTGCTGCCCTTTCTGAGGCTCCATACCTGCCGTGAAGCAGGGCTAGGGTCTGCTCTCCCAGACTCGCAAGCTCTGGGGAGTCAGAGCAAGCGTCCTGAGGGCCCCCTCCCGCAGTGAGTCAGGGAAGGTTCTGAGGGAGCACCTGGAGCAGGGCCTGCAGCTGAGCAGTTCCTAGGCACAGTGGAGGAGCCCACAGTCCCGAGGGAGGGAGCAGTGACTTTGAGGGTGTGAAGAGAGGCAAGAGGCGGGGGGGGGGGGTGGGGGGCTGGCCTGAGGGGTGGGGGACATGGAAGGGCAGCAGGAGGCCGCTCATGGGCTCCCCGGAAAGCCTGGTGTGGGCAGGAGTCCCGCGTGGGGGTGGGTGGCTGGGCAAGGCTGGAGAGGGGTTGGGAGAGGGTGTCTGAGGGTCCTGGGTGGGAAAGCTGTCCCGTTTCAGAGCCCGTAGGGGCCTGGAGAGTGACTGGACAGGACCCTGCAGAGAGCAGTGCTTCTGGGTTCTGGGGACCCCCGAGGCACACACCCTGTTCCCAGCAGCTGCACCAGACACTGGTCGCTGTGTTCCTCGGAGAAGGTGTCCTGGGCCTTGAGCTTGGGGTACACCAGGGAGGCAGTGGTGCGGGTCCAGGCATTGGGGAGCTTCCAAAATCCAGGCTGCAGGATGGGCTGGAATTCTGGCAGAGAGTGCGGGGGACAGATGCCGTGGGTCGCTCAATGCTTACGCACCCCCAGCTCCACCCCCCCAGCCCAGGAGCCTCTCCCCTGCAGCCCAGAGCACACCCCGCCTCGGACAACCCCCTTTGAAATACTCAGGACGCTCTTTTTCTAAACAAACAAATAAATGAAATCAGCAGGAACAGGGTGGGGTGCGCTTTACTAAGCCCAGCACCCCGCGGGCAGCTGGAGCCAGGCCCCGGGAGAGGCACGCCCCGTCTGCCCCCACCCTCTGGTCTGGCCCCCTTGTCTGGGCAGTTGCAGCACGCATGCGGGGGACACTCCCTGGCCTCCAGCCCCCGGGAGCGGGAGCTGGTGGAGTCCTCCAGGAACGGTCACCTGGGTCATCTAAATGCCCTGCCCTGGGCAACGCGCGCTGGAAGAAACGTTCTCCCCCCGGGCTGTTACCTCTTAGGTACTTGGGGTCACTCAGGTTGAGGTAGACCGCGGACGCCTGCAGAAGGCCCTCCAGCCTCTCCGCCAGCTCCCCCACGCGCCGGCTCTGTGCCTGCAGCCGGGGGTCTCGGGCCCACACCTCCCGGGCGCCTCTCAGCTGTGCTGGAAATAGGCGCCGACCCGTCACCCTCCCAGCTCCCAGGGCGAGCAGGAGCTGAGCTGATCAGATCAGGGCCTGGGGCGGGGGGCACTCAGCTGGGCCACAGCCCCCCTCTAACGGTTTCCTGTGGGGTGACCAGAGAAAGTCACTTCACTTCTCCACTTTCTTCACCTGTAAAACCGGGCAATGGTAGCTTTACTCTGGGGGTCGAGGTTGTAGGGGACATAGGAGCTAACTACCTAGGACGGAGTCAGTAGTATCCATCGTGCAAAATAAGCCCTTAATGCACTTAATAAAGTTTAGCTAATAATAGTAACGAGCGAGATTCAGGGTTTGCTCTATGGAGACAACGATCAGAGAACGGCTCAGATTCAGATGGAGAGCTGTGGACAGCCGTGGGCTGCACCCTTCACAAGCGCAACACATTCCGATCAGGGCTCTGGACGGTGCCGAAGCGAATTCCAGCAGACAGGCAAGTGACTGGGGGGGGCTTTACTCGTAATTCTCACAAAGGTGCCCTCAGGACTAGCAGTGGCCCCTGGTGGCAGGGTAGGGCGGTGGCCAGAGAGAGTGGCCAGGGCGGATGAGAAGGGCGCTGGGCGAGGCCTAGGGGCTGGACTGGCTCAGTCATGCTGGGCTCCCCTCGGGGCAAGAGCCCAGCTCTGAAGCCGAGTTTCTAGGTTGCTCGGCTCTGGCAGGTGGCCCCAGAGGTACACCCGGTCATCAGGGAGGCCAGGGGAGCCCCGCCTTTGCTTGTTTCTCCCCAAGGGAGGCAACTGCGGCCCCCGTGGGGCCCCGTCACGGCTGCTGGGCAGCACGGCACTCCCAAGCGAGTGTGGACGCCCTTAATCTCACCCCTCGCTGGGAAGGAACAGGGTAACTGGGACTTAGCTCGGGGCGTGTGGGGAGACAGCGAAGCGCGAGACGGCTCCAGGAAACCAGACTGGTCCTGTCAGGGCCCCCAGAGGCGGCAGCCTCCTTCCACCTCGCTCTGTGAGGTGGCAGCAGCCCCAGGGCAGCCGCAGCCACTGGCAGCCTCTTCCAAGACGAGTGCCCGCTTGCACTGGCATGGACTTGAGGGCGATGCCCGGCCCCTGCCCCCAGGGGCTTCAGGGCAGGCCGGCGTGGCCCCTAGACACCTGCCTGAGAGACCACGGCGCTGTCCTGTGCCTCAGTTTCCCTCCCTGCAGGAGCATACGGCACTTGTCCCTCTGGGCTGTTAGGTGATACACGGCAGGTGCCCAGACAGCACCCACACCAGTTTTGGGGGCCACATCACCACTTCCACGGTGGACCCATCATTAAAAAAATACACTAAAGATGTTGTCTTACGGCATGTTGGTTTGGACACCAGAGGTGTTTTGTTACCTGAAGTTTTCATCTTTTTCCTTATGATTTTAAGAGAAAATTAACCAAGTCCATGGGTCCCTGAGAGTATCCTGGGCGGCTGGGCTTGGTGTTTACCGCAGGGAGTTCTGGGCAAGGTGAGCGCAGGGCAAGGTGGGCGCAGGGCATGTGGCCTTCGCAGGGAGTTTATGGGAGGGAGGGCGCTAAACCAGGGCCCTAGCACCAGCCGACAGCCCCAGCTCCCTCCACTTCAGCCAAAGCCGCCTGGGGCCCCCCAAAGAGCCAGTGCCGAGTTTGTTCAGCTTGGAGGAGTGTGAGGGTGAGTGGGGGGCAGGCAGTGAAGGAAGGAGACCCCCTCCTGTTGCAGCCTGGTCCTGGCCTGCGGGAGAGGAACTAGGGCCTTAGGGCCTGGTGGGGTCCACCAGAGGTGGCCTGAGGAGACAGGCTTCAGGGAGACAGCAGGGGCTCCCCGGGGGTGAGGCCAGCTCCCGCTGAGGACAGAGGCCACGGGGCCAGAGCCCTCCTGTCACCCCGAGGGCAGCAATGGGGCGATGCTGACCCAGTGACGCAGGACGGTCTCTCTTGCCCCCTGTTGCATTTTGGTTTATCTCTGGCCTCCAAGGAAAAGGCAGTTAACGAGCAGTGTTGACCAGCTGGCGCCTGGTCTCCGGGGGCATCAACGCACCTGCAGACCCCTCCCCTGGGCAGGCCTTGCCCATCTCCCCCTTTTATTCCTTTCTATAAGTACCCCAGAGAGGACGGGGTGAGTCCGCTGCCCTCCTTCTCCTCAAACGGTTTTTGTTTGGCGCTGGGAATGGGTGTGGGGTCGGGGAGGGCCCCTGGGGCCTCGGCCCTCTGTCAGAGGCCGCAGGGTGGAGCTGCCCCCCCCTCCACTAAGGGTGTGAGGGTTTGTCTTGGCCAGGCGCCAGCCCTCTCCTGGGGAGATCCTCTGTCCCTCAAAGCAGAACAAACACTTGCTCTGTTCTGGGGCCTCCAGGTGGCTTTGGCTGGAAGTGGAGGAGCTGGGGCTGGAATCTGATGGGGAGCGCCCTGATTTTGTCCACCCCCACCCTCCCGAGGTGGGGGAGCCCCCCTCCCATAAACTTCCCTCCAAAGACCCTGTTCCCCGTGCCCACCTTGCTCAGCTTGTCAGGAGGGAGGGGCTGTCAAAAAGGCTATTTCCTCCTGGGAAAATAATTTCCAAGTCTTTTTTCAAGCCACCTTTGAATCCTTTCTACTTCTAAAAACATTCCATTACAGCAGGCTATAGACCCCCTGGGAGGAGCAAGCCTCGCCCAGCTCTGGCTGTTCAAGGCCAGGTGGTGGCTGGGAGCCGGGGCAGAGCAGACAGCGGAAGGGCCCGGGCAGGGCCAGGGCCGAGCTGGGGCAGAGTGGACGGGGCAGAGTGGACGGGGCAGGGCCCGGGCAGGGCCGGGGCAGGGTGGACGGGGCAGGGCCAGGGCAGAGCTGGCAGGGGCAGGCTGAGGCACCACGTTCCGGGGCCTCCACACAGAGGGAGAGGGTGCACCCACCTTGCAGCACACGGAAGCCCACCACGCCGTCCAGGTTGATTTCAGGCAGCCTCTTCTTCAGGAAGGAGGTGGCTCTCTCCAGCACAGAGAGGATGAGGCTGGCCTGGGAGGCCTTGCCCTCTGGAGAGTCTGGCGGGGACAGGGGAGTGGGACACAGCGGGGCTGCCAGCAGCAACAGCAGGAGCAGGAGCCCTGGGCTGGACATGGCTGGGCCTCTCCTGAGACTGCCGAGGGCCTTAGCCCAGATGGCCCGCCCCAACACCTCCCCCAGCTCCCCCCACACCCCCTGCAGAGTCGCAGACAAGTGGCCAGGCAGGACTGCCCGGTGGCCTGGGGAGGCCTGGGCCAGGACTCCGGGAAGGACAGCAGTAGGGGCTGATGACAGAAGGGCCCCGCTGGCCTAGAGCCAGCAGGGGAGAGGCCCCACCCTCTCCTTCCTCCAGACTGGACTCTCCAGACCTGGGGCCACGTCTTTGTTGGAGCAGTTGTAATTACAATCCAGGAATCCCAAAGGCCTGAAAGGCAAATTAAAATAGTAAAGATTGGAGTAAACTCATTTGAGGGCACGGCTGTGGCGGACAAAGGAGGCATATTCGTTTTTATTTTTAAAGATTGATTTATTTATGCATTCAGAACTGGGGTACAGGCCAGAGGTGCAGGGGCGGAAGAGGCTTCCCCAGAGACAGAGCGGGGAGCAGGACAGTCGGATCAACAAAGTCCACTGCTGAGGGAGCAGTGGGCAGGCCAGGAGAGGTCTGCCGCGCCCTGGGGGGTCACCTCCGGGCCGGGATTGAATTTACACTGAAGTGGCCACAGCCAGCTTGCAGTGCTGCACCCTAACCCTTTGCGCCACCAGGGAGCGCCTGTTTTTCCTTTGTATAAACACCCCTGGCCCTGCCCAAGGGCAGATGGTGTGGTCTTTCAGACTCCAGTCTGAGGCCTCCCTCAATCTGTTGACAAGTTAAACTACTTTCCTTCTCCTCAGACTGTTTCCTTTTAGTGGCTGTGGGAAACTGAGGCCAGCATTGGTATCTCGGTGCGCCTGGCTGCACCAACCTGCTGCGATGCTTCTCAGCAAGCGAGATTTTTAAAAGCTACAGGCTGTGGCATGGACTCACACTCATTACTTTTGTGGGGCTATGGAGGAGGTAATGAGGGAGCAGCGTGGGAAGCGACCTGCATATTCCATACTTACAACCATTCTTTCTTCTTTTAAGTATTTTTTTTTTTTTTACTGTGTTACAGGGCGAGGAGAAGAGCACCCCAGGACCCTCAAACCTGCCTACTCTAAATAGGTTCTGCCATCCGCTGCATCAAGAAAAAACATATAGCCCTTTAATGGAGAGGAAATTTAATATGACTAGTGAACAATACAGAAAAGACAAACAATATAGTTTCCAAATCAAGCACCCAAAGTGACCCATCCCCTTGGGCATAAATGTCCAGACGAACAAGACTGACCCACAGCAAGGCCTGAAAGTCTGCCACAAGTCGAAGGCCCCTCTGGCAGGGGCCCATAGAAAAGTGCCAGAAAACAGACAAGCCTGGGAGGAAAAGAGAAAAACCAAAATGAAGATAAATGCTGCCACAGTCGCCTCCCCCGGGCCTCCCCCGCGTCTGCGTCCCCCAGCGCAGGGCCAGGAAACAAGGGCCGCTTCTTGGGTGTCTGCTTGGCGCCTCCTCCAGGTCTCCTCTGGCCCACGCTGCTTCCTCCCCAGTCTCCTCTCCCGCTTCTCCTCCCTGCTCAGCCCCACCCTCCTTTCGATGGGGCAGGGAACCTGGGACCTTGCCTTTTTCCTGGGGACCCTCACAGCTGCATGGCATGAATGCACCCGTAAGTGTGCTGCTGGGTGAATTTTCCTCAGTGGGGCACACTTAGGTCATCAGACCCCAGAGCAGGCCAGACATGACACGCAGCCCCCCCCAGCCCCCTAAAGGCCTCCCGCCACTCACTCCCCAACCCTCCATGGCAGGTCTCTCCCCGACTTCCAGCAGCGACGGTAAGTCTTCATTTCATAAAACAAACACTATGCACAGTGGCATCTCTGCGCTTCTCTTGGCATGGTTGCACTGCTTTGAGATTATATTACAACGTGGGGGAAAAAAAAGCACCGAGTTCCCCCACCCCTCAACTCGGTAACAACATTATCTGAATGCTCATTCTTACCCCAGGGGTTCCTGGGGTTCCACTGGCCTTCACTTAGGGGACCAGGCTAAGCTCCGCCCTGACCCTGCCCGCCCTCTGGCCCCGCCCGCCCTCTGGCCCGCCCACCCTCTGGCCCCGCCCACCCTCTGGCCCGCCCGCCCTCTGGCCCCGCCCGCCCTCTGGCCCCGCCCGCGCGCACCGGAACGCCGTCACGTGACCGAGATCGGCCCGCCAAAATGGCGGCGTCCTGCGTGGCGCTGCTGGCTCTGTGTGTGTCCCTACCGCCGCTGCTGCTGGTCGCGTGGAAGCGCTGGCGGCGGGGGCGCGCGGCCCGGCACGTCGTGGTCGTGGTGCTGGGCGACGTGGGCCGCAGCCCCCGCATGCAGTACCACGCACTGTCGTTGGCCGAGCGCGGTTTCTCCGTGTCCCTCCTGGGGTTCTGCAGTGAGTGCCTCGAGAGTTTGGGGGGACGGCGGCTCGCTTTGACGACCCTCGGCTTTGACCGCCCCAGAGGGGCCGAACGGCGGCATCCCTTTCCTTGTCCCCATGTTGGGCAGCTCTTCCAGGTTGGGTTGGGGTTATGGCCTGGACAGCTGTTACCAGGTGCTGTCCAGCCGCCACTCGTGGGTCTCTAAACAGCCTGCGTTGATGGGGCACTGGCCTAACGCCGGGACTGTGCTAAGTAACTCAAGGCAGAGTGTCACATAATCCTCCCAGTATTGCTTGTGACCCCAGTGCCCGTGCCGGTAACCACACTTGTCGGATGTGGTACTGGCACCAGGGTCTCCTGGCCACTCCCCAGGGTCTCCTGGCCACTCCGCACCTGCAGTGCAGAACTCTGCAGGGTGGTGTTTTATTTGCCCCATGTTTAACCTTCCTCTTTGGTGTGCAGGGGCTGGGTGTCAGCTCCCCCCTCCACCTCCATGCTGACATCAACCCCCTCTAGGGGAGGGCCCCTGGTTACGGGTGGTCCTTGCTTGGAGTTTACTACCCCAGGGTGTGGGAGCGGAGTGTGACTTCCGGAGTCTCCCTGTGGTGGGGTAATTCTGGCCCAGAGACTGCAGGTCAGTTTGAGTGACCACTGTGTGCCAGGCTTTGTGTTAAGTAATGGTGGATGGACTCAGACCCTCCCTGTTGGACAGTCCGGTGGAATCTGGACAAAGATTGGTTTGGTTCTCTTTTCTGGGTACCGAGGAACAGAGAGAGGTTTCAGAAATTCTTACTTCCCGCAACGCTGTCTACTGTTCAGCCTGAGTGGGAGGAATCATGTGACTACATTTTCTGCCCTGTCTTTTCAGACTCCAAACCCCACGACAAGCTCCTGCAGAATGACAGAATTCAGATTGTGAGTTTGACTGAACTTCAGAGACTTGCAGGTAGGACGGAGCCAACTCCGACTCCTCTGAGAGTGTGTGAGCGTGGCACATGTGTGCACGCGTCTGCAAATTGTCAGCAGCTCCTTGGCGGTGACGCTTGTTTTTCTGACTTTCAGTGCTACCTCAGATCCTCCAGTATGGAGTCAAAGTTGTGTTTCAGGCAGTGCACTTGCTGTGGAAGTTGATGTGGAGGTTGCCCGCAGCCTACATTTTTCTCCAGGTAGATGCAACTCCTCCCCTGCCCCCCTTTAAAAATGCACAAACCAAGGAGCAATTTTTGCATTACTTCATATATGCATATAAACTTAGAACACAAGTAGGAGATAACAGGATGTGCTCATTCTACGTCAGGTACGCATGCATTGCATTCTTCTGGTATTTGTAGTCTGAGTTTACGTTATACTTACTACCTGAGTGTTTTGCATGCACTGACTCATTTAACTCCTCAGAACAACCCCAGCGTATCCTCATACATCTGTCTTGCGTGAGTCCAATTTCTTCCTTAGGATAAATTCCTATGAGTGGTGGTGCTTGGGGGAAGCTGGCACCCTTACAAAGTGCCGTCCCTGAGGAGGCTGGGTAGGATCAGCTCCCACCTGACAGACATGCCTTATCTGTCACTTGTAACCAGTCTTGTAAATTTATCCTAAGGAAGAAGTTGGACTCACGCAAGACAGATGTATGAGGATACGCTGGGTCATGCTATTTGAAAAAGTGAAGGAGCCAAGGAGAATTCCCCCGAATCCTCATGACCCCAGCTGTTGGGGTTTGAGAATTCCCTTGTGAGAGTAAAACCTACACCCTTGTTTCATTTTTTTATCTTAATTCTCAGTGATCCTAGACTTTCAGTTGATAGACTTTGTTTCTTTTATGATTTTTTTCCTGCCTTTTCTGGTGAGGAAGAGGCTCTTTCTTGTGCTTACTGATTCCTGAGAGCTCTGTAAAGATGCGAACTATGTGTGAACCATTACAGCCATTTACTCAGTTGTTGGTGGCCTGGGTACCCACCTCTTCACTCACGCCTCCTTTCCCCAGAACCCCCCGGGCCTGCCCGCCATTGCCGTCTGCTGGTTCGTGGGCTGCCTCTGTGGGAGCAAGCTGGTCATCGACTGGCACAACTACAGCTACTCCATTATGGGTCTTGTGCACGGCCCCAGCCACCTGCTCGTCCTGCTGGCCAAGTGGTGAGGACCTGGGAGGAGGGTGCAGAAACTCCCAAAACTGTGGTGGAGAGAGGGGCCTTGGAGACGTGGAGGTTGGTTCCCTGTGCGGCTTCGGGCAAGGCTGTTTACAAGTGACAGAAACAGGCCTCAACAGAAGAGGGTCCTTATTGGTCCCCGCAGCTGGAGGCTGGACACCCTGGAACATCCCTAAAGAAAGATGTTGTCCGCTCTCAAGCCTCCTCTGTGTCCGGAGCCAGGGCAGACCCCGGTCCGGCAGTAGGTGTGGCCTTGAGTGACTGCTTCCATCTGCCCGGCCCCAGGGCTAATTGCCACTGTCGTTTTTTAAAGATTTATTTATTTATGCATACAGAACTGGGGTGCAGACCACTATCTTGTGTCTGACCTTTGCTGAACCCCCTTGGCACTGTGGCGAACAGACCTGGCTCCATGGCTCCCCACTTCATGACTAGGCCTTCCTTGAGCGTTTTTCTCTAGCGAGAGGCTGGGCCTCCCTGCAGGGAGGTTCCTCAGAGTAACCGAGCTTGCACTGGGATGCGGCGGGCTCTGGTGGGGGGACACATCCAGTGGAACTTCGGTGGCGAAGGCCCCAGCAGACCCTGGCCCTGCAGCCCCGTGTTGGGGGGGAGGGTGTGCACAGTTGGGGGTGCTGAGCAGACTCCAGGCTCCAGGCTGAGCAGCCACATCTTTTCAGGTACGAGAAGCTCTGCGGGCGCCTGTCCCACCTGAACCTGTGTGTGACCGACGCCATGCGGGAGGACCTGGCAGAGAACTGGGGCATCAGGTGTGCGCCCCATGGGGTGCGGGCAGGCGAGCTGTCAGTGAGGTGTCTGGAAGTCCCAGGGTCCTAAGGCATCTTACCGTCTTGCTCTGAGGCTCAGCTCCCACAAACACCCTTCTCTTTCTGGGTGCTCCTGGGTCACCTCTTCCTCAGCGCCCCCCGCCCAGCTGCCTCCCACCCCACAGAGCCCTGATGATCTCATTGCAGAGCTGTGACCGTCCACGACAGGCCCGCATCTTTCTTTAAAGAGACGCCCTTGCATCTGCAGCACCAGCTCTTCATGAAGCTGGGCCGCACCTACCCCGCCTTCAGGGCCTGGTAGGTCCCGTCTTCAGCCGCCTTCTTTTGTGTGCTGCTGTCTGGCCGCTCCCTGCCCGCTCCCTGCCCATTCCCTGCTTTCTCGCCCTGTCCCAGCCTCCCCCCTGCCTCGTCACTGCGGCCCTCCGTCCTAGCACCGCCAGCTTCGGGTGGCCGGGTCAGCTCTGTGGCTCTGGTGTGGCCGCACCCTGACCTCCGGACCTGGTGTCTGGGGTCCACGGGCCTTTATGTGGCACCTCACAGCTCTGTCTCTGCCCCTTCAGCACTGAGCCCTCGGACCCGGGTGCGGAGAGGTCGGCCTTCACGGAGCGGGCCACACGGAGCGGGCTGGTGACGAGGCGTGGGGGGCGGCCAGCGCTGTTGGTCAGCAGCACGAGCTGGACAGGTGCCAGGACCCGCCCGGCACAGGGCTCCTGCAGGCTGCGCTCTCCGCACCCCTGCCAGGCCGGCGCCCCGTGCCGATTCTGGGGGGAGGGAGGGGTGGGCACTGGGCGGGCAGGCCCAGAAGTTGCCCCGACACTCGCTCTCTTCCCGCAGAGGACGAGGACTTCTCCATCCTGCTGGCAGCACTAGAAAGTAGGTGTGTGGCTGCGATGGGGGGGCTGGTGGGGGCCACCCACTGAGCTGTGGGGTGCTGTGGGGCTCGCCTGGGTCTGCTGCAGTGTTCCTGCTCCAGGGTCACGTGGCTGGCGGGCGGAGGATGCTGGGGTGGGGGTTCTGAGTCCCCACCAGGGTCGCCGCGTGACCAGGCCCTAGATCTGAGGACCTACCTCGGGGTGGGTGGGGGGCCCGGCTGTGGCTGGCAGCAGCCTCTGCCCCCGGCCCCTCGCTCACCTGAGCGGATGGTTCTGGTTACTGTCGGGCTTGTTTCTGTCCACGCAGGGTTTGAGCGGCTGGTCCTGGAGGGGGCGCGCCTGCCCTCGCTGGTCTGCGTGATCACAGGTACGCCGGCCGCCCGCTGGGGCTGTGGGCCTGCTCAGGTGCCCGCTTCGCGCCGAGCCAGGCCCGGGCGCCTCGGCGGGGCATGGAGCTGGCTGGAGCTGCGGTAGCCCAGCCTCGGTGAGACTGAGCTTCCTGCTGGTGGTGGCCACGTGTCTGTTTATCTTAAGTGGAAGAGGCCACGGCCCCCACCCCAGCAGCAGCCCAGAGGCAGGGGCAGCTGAGGTCGGCGCGGGGCCTGGCCCTGGGCTCCCAGGCGGCGAGGAGCCCACTCTGTCAGTGCTTGGGGGCCTGGCCACGAGAGAGCTGTTTTGGGTCAGCGCCCGTGCTTGCCAGAATGTCCGCTGTGCTCCCAGCCTGGGGCCCCTCGGCCAGGTGGGGGGTGTTCGGGGTTAGGGTGCCCGCTGGATCCTCTGTGGCGGAGCCCTGGTAGAGGCCTGCGGGGAGCTGCCCGGCCTGCCTGTGCTCGAGCCCCGCAGGGGCATCTAGGCGGGGCTGTGGGCCGGGGACGGGTGGGCCCGTGGCGGGACTCTGGCTTCTCTGCCAGGCAAAGGGCCCCTGAAGGAGTTCTACGGCCGCCTCATCGGCCAGAAGCACTTCCGGCACATCCAGATCTGCACCCCGTGGCTGGCGGCGGAGGACTACCCCCTGCTCCTGGGTGAGGGGCCGCGGGAGGCTGGCGGCCGGCGCACGTGGACGGGGTGCGGGCGGCGCCTGGGAGGGGCCGGCGGCGAGCACCTCACTGGTCTCCACCGCGTAGTCTTCTGCGCCCTGTAGGAGTGAGGCGCCCTGTGCTGTGCCCACGGTGGCACGGCCTGGGCACCTGGGGCTGGCGGGGGGCTGAGCTGGGGGGAGCTCTTGGCCGGCCGCGGGCCAGGCTGTTCCCTGTGTGCCCGCTCCCGCCCCTGCCCTGGGCTCTGCCTGCACAGCCCTCCACGCCACCCTGCTCCTGACGGGGGTGGGAGCTGGGGCTCGGCTTGGGCGGAGCCCTCAGGTGCCCAAGTCTGGGGGCGGTGGCGGGAGGCGCAGGTAAAGGTGTGCCTTACGCGCACAGTGCTGGACAGTTGTCGCCACGTCCGTTCCCTACCCGTCTGGTCATCGAGACCCTGAGCCCACTCAGAGTAGTTGCTACTGAGGGTTCAGTTAAAAACAGTGGTTATACTGGAAAAGTGAGTCAGTGGAAATAGAAGGGGTGCGCGGCGGGCCATCTGGGGAGAGGTGGGGCGGCTGGAGCGGCCCCGGGTGCCCGCGGTGGCCCCGGCCCAGGCGCCTGGCCAAGGCCGGCCCGCGGCATGTGCCCTGTGCGTCTTCACTCCCCGCGCCCTCTGCAGACCCGCGGGGCTCGTGGTCACAGCCCCCTGCCCTGCAGGCTCGGCGGACCTGGGCGTGTGTCTGCACAAGTCCTCCAGCGGCCTGGACCTGCCCATGAAGGTGGTGGACATGTTTGGCTGCTGCCTGCCTGTGTGCGCCGTCCGCTTCCGCTGGTAGGAGCGCGGCTGTCTCCCCCGCCCCGTGCCCCCCGCCCCGTGCCCTCCCAGCTGGCACAGATGTCTGTGGCGGGGCCGGCGGGAGGGCCAGGCTGCCTTCCGCTTGGGTTCCCGAGCAGTCGCTGCCCCCTGGGCGGTGCTCCTGGATGGAAGCGCGGCTCGTCCCGACCGAGCTTGCTCACTTGCATCTGAGGTGGCACAGTGAGCGCCGCCGTCTCGCGTACGCGCAGGGCTGGCCGCAGGAGGCCGGGGAAGCAGTCGTCCTGCTGCCGGCTGAGCCGGCCGGGTGGGAATGTGAGGTGTCCGGCCCGCGGGGAGCCCTGCCGGAGCTGGCCCTGGCCCTCCCGTGTGCAGAGCCCCCGCGGTGGGTGACCTTGCACCTTGCTTCTCTGCTGGGCAGATAAACACACCAAGCACGTTCTCGCGGAGAGAGCAGTTGGCACCAGAGGCCGCCTTCGCGGCTGCCGTCGCTGCTGGGGCTGCTTGGACGCCCCATGTCCGGGGTCTCTCCTGTCCAGATGCCAAGTCTCCCAGGCTCACGACACTGGGCTTGACCGTTCCTGACCCCGGGGTGGCCAGTGGGCGTGGCAGCGGAGGTGGGCTTCTGGTTTTCCCCTAGACAGCGCCTGGCCTCCCTGGGTTCTCCCTGCAGCTTGCACGAGCTTGTGAGGCACGAGGAGAACGGCCTGGTGTTCACGGACGCCGAGGAGCTGGCCGCTCAGCTGCAGGTAGTGTGTCTGCCCCGTGGCCGCGCCCGGGGTCTGCGGCCTCGGGCCAGGGCCACACCTCACTTGCCTGTGGGTGTGTGGTGCTGATGCCACACAGGTGGCCGGGACCAGGCAGCCATGGGCACCATTAGGGAGTGGCGGGTGTGGGGGTCTCCAGAGGAGCTGATTTCTTACCACAGAAAGGAGTGCTTCCACATTGAGACCAAAGGTTGGCAAGCCCAGTGAAGCCCAGATAGGAAATATTTCTGGCTTTGCTGCAGTCTTTGTCGGAACTACTCAGCCCTGTGGGGAAGCAGCCTCGTCGTGAGGCCGTGTTCCGATAAACTTCATTTGCAAAGAGTGGCACAGGCCGGGGTTGGCCACAGGCCGCAGCTTGCACCTGGCTTGGAGAGTTTGGCAAAGCTGAGCACACCCAGCCTGTGGGCTGAGCAGAGGCTGGGGGTGGGGGTGGGGAGTGCCAGGGTGGCAGCTGCGGGCACAGGGTGTGGCTGGGTGCCGTCAGGTACCGGTGTGGGGTTGTGGCTCATGCCCAGGACCCGTGGAGCAGCCTCTGGGGCCGGGCCTGGTGTCCAGATCTGTGGGCTGCCGGGTCAGCCCAGGGGGAAGCCCTGCAAAAAGACACGGTGGTGACCCCTAAAGGGCGGTGACGTGTGGGTCACTGGCCCGGCCGGGGTGTTTCGGGAGGGCAGTCTAGGAACCTGGAAGGAGGGACGGCCCCAGGTGGGGCCTGGGCCGGATGGGAAGTGCAGGTGCGAGGTGTTTTCGCTTATTTTTCTTCTAGCTGCTTTTCTCAAATTTTCCCGACCCTTCTGGCAAGCTACACCAGTTCCGGAGGAACCTGCAGGAGTCAGGGCAGCTCAGCTGGGACGAGAGCTGGAGGCGCACGGTGCTCCCACTGATTGTGGACACGTGACCCCAGACCAAGGCCCCAGCCCCGCGCTCATCCCTGCTGGACGGTGGTGGGACCTGCAGGTTGAGCCCGAGCCCCTTGCTGCCTCCTCCCTCTGCCAGCTGGGGCCCAGGTCCTGGGCAAACGTGGGGAACAGCACCGCCCAGTGGCCGCAGACGGAAGGACGCGGCGCCTGGCCGTGGCTCCTGGCTTGCAGCCGCCCAGCCTGTGTCCTTCTCCAAGGCTCCGGGCCACTCCTTTCCTCCTGTTCCCCGAGCCGCGTCTTCCCCCAGCTCATTACTATTCTTTTCTTGGCTGTGGTGTCTTCACCCTGCTGTCTCTAGGCATCCCCTTTGCAGGCATCTGCCCCGCGGAGCCCCAGTACCTGTTCCCCCTTGAACACAGCCCCACGCAGGCGCTGAGGGCCGCTGTGTCCAGGGGCGGCACTCGAGGCACACAAGGGTGGCTTTTTAGTTGCCCAAGTAAGATAGTTTCTCTGGACCAAAATTCCCGTTTCTGACAGATGTGGTTTGCCTGAGAATCAAAATTAGGGCCGCCCTTGTCGGTGCAGGGGGTCAGTCTCAGCGCTGTCGTGCCTCAGCCTGGGTCCAACCCCCGGCCAGGGAGTGACCCACACGGCGCCGCAGACCCTCCTGTGTCCCCACTGCTCCCCTCAGCGGTCGATTTCAGTAGCTCTGCCTCTTCTGCTCCCCAGTCACTGGGGAGTCCTCTCAGCCCCCCCAACTCTGGCCTGCACCCCAGTTCTAGGCAAAAAAACCTAAACTTGCTGGCAAAGAGGCACAGGCAGACTCGAACAGGTGGTTTTATTGGAAGTCTGTGGCTCCTGATCCGGAACTTAACACTCCTTGTGCACTCAAACCCGGTGAAAGTCCATCTGCTTTCCCCTTTCAAAGTTCCTCCTCGGGTAGCGCGTGAGTTTCCCGTGTCTCCCGGAGCGCCGCTCTGCCTAGAGCGCGAGCCTCAGGATGCCGGTCTCGGAGCGCTCTTCGTAGGGAAACAGCTGCTGGTCGTGAGGAGGCACCGCCTCCCAGGGCAGCCCCGCCCGGCCTGCCACGGAGCCCACAGTGAGGACGCTCCAGCCGCGCTGCGGGGGCGGGGGCGGGGGCGGGGC